TGCCCCGTGAAATTTGCAACGCCAGAATTTCCACGATTCTTCATAGCTGAATTGCTGAATATTTTAACTGCATTACCAACGTAACTAGAATCGCGGTGACAAGAACTGGTAAAATTTTTTGGTAATAAAGTTTTCTGGTTACAAAATCTTCGGTAACATGCAGAATAGATCTGTTAGGGCCGTTTTTTCTAAAAACTTTCAACTTTAAAGCGCACTTTATGTTTAAAGATTGCTTTAAAATGTATAGTTCTGTCTAATTGTGATTTTTGGACTCGGTGTACACGGCATTTTCTCACAGTTACCGAATCTAGCCCCAGCTTCTTCTTGTGTTGTATATTAGTGCTCATTCTAAATTTTCAAATATGATACATAAATGTATTTATTCTACATGTTTATTTACATTTTGTNAAAAAAAAAAACACATTGAGAATATAAACACACTTAACTGGTAAATGAAGTTCCTGTCAATCTTTAAACCTCGTTCTCATTTTATGTACTCTTGTAACCGGTAAATTTTGTTTCCATCTCATAAGCTGATAACAAAATATTTCCCCGTGAAATTTGCAATGCCAGAATTTCCACGATTCTTCATAGCTGAATTGCTGAATATTTTAACTGCATTACCAACGTAACTAGAATCGCGGTGACAAGAACTGGTAAAATTTTTTGGTAATAAAGTTTTCTGGTTACAAAATCTTCGGTAACATGCAGAATAGATCTGTTAGGGCCGTTTTTTCTAAAAACTTTCAACTTTAAAGCGCACTTTATGTTTAAAGATTGCTTTAAAATGTATAGTGCTGTCTAATTGTGATTTTTGGACTCGGTGTACACGGCATTTTCTCACAGTTACCGAATCTAGCCCCAGCTTCTTCTTGTGTTGTATATTAGTGCTCATTCTAAATTTTCAAATATGATACATAAATGTATTTATTCTACATGTTTATTTACATTTTGTTATATACTATTTTTTGCTTTGTTTACACCCAAGAAAACCGATAATAGAAATGCTTTTCTTCAGACATATCCATAAGTTTTGAAGCAACGGCTCAATATGAAGGGAGCTTTTCAAATAAAGTATTCTTGAGAAAACGGTCATTAGAGGAGAAATCACAATGAAAGTATCACGTGTAATACAAAATTTGCAAACTCAAAAAACTGACGCGCAGTTACAAAAAATCGATAGTCAACTAGTCCTATCGATAGTTTAAGCATTTTTGGGAAAACCTATCACTACCACGGTTGCCGTTTTGGTCCAAATGGACCAAATTTGGTTTTGTTTTTGTGTTATGTAGGTAACTGTAGGTTCTTTCCCTAACAATTCGTACCGGATCCGGTAATTAGAGAATAAGCGAAAAGCTTGCTCTCAAAAATGGAACATAATCGAGATGTAGTGTTGCCAGAGATAAATTTCGTTTGGAGCGAAAACGGTAGAAAGAAAAGAGCTAAATAATACTAATAGTAGCTAAAATGAAGAGCTACCTATTTTTGTTATCGTTGGGCATTTATTGACGTAAGGTTGTTTTTATATTTTCTGCAATTTTAATAAGAACAACGAATCTTATAAGTTTAAGTACTGAAAAAATCCTTCAAAACCAAAATAAGGTGCAAGGTTCGTTGCTATGGCACTTATAACAGTGAACTAAAAATACTTTACAAACTGTTAAAGTCTGTAATTTCAGATGATTGAATTTAATAATTTTTTCGTAATATTTTTCTGGAAAGTTCTACTTCCAGCTCTCCTCAAAGGTAAAATTAGTAAGGTAAAACAAAATTCGCGCTATCAGAAAAAGGATTTTCTTTTAATTAATTTTTGAATTCTTTAACCTAGATCCAAGAGTTTATGGTGGATACACTGCATCTCGAAATTTTTCATTTTATCAACGCGTAAGTTTTGGCTTATATATACCAAATATAACTAAAACTTTCTGGAGCTAAAAAGTTCTAGATAAATGTGAAAATATCTAAAAAAGAGCTAGGAGCTAAAACCCAATTTTCGGAACTAAATAGAAAAATAAAGAGCTAATTCTAGCTCCAAAAGTACCAAAATGGCAACACTCTCCAGAAGTACGGGAACGCAAAAAACCACATTTCATGCCCAGAATTTGAGTAACAATGATTTTGAGAATATAAAGATTGAAAATACATTCACCATTCCTTAAAAGCACCAAGTAAATGCAGGTAACATGTAAACACAAAAGAGCTGATATGCACTTTGACGCTTCATCCATTTTTACCCGGAGAAAAAGTCCGGGCTGTTTGGGGCAGGAAGAAGAAGACACTTACGATGCAATACGTTCCAATTTTGGCTTTCTATTACCCATTTTGTTGAGTACAGGAATGATTTCTGGGCTATTTTGGGCACCCGCGGGATCCCGCGTTGCGTACGGGAAAGAACCTTGTGTATAATTTTCTAACACTGCCATTTTCATTAATCTACTGGGCCTCAATCACAACAGCAGCAAGGTAATTTGGGACCTATGTGTAGTGTTGAAGAAAGATATTGAGTATTTCCAAATTTCAGAGTTTTTAACACAGGAACTGGTAGCAATTCAGACGACGCTGTCAATAAACTGCAGAAACACGGATCTCGCCTTTGCTGCGGCCTATTTTTCTGGGCATAATGCCAACGCGACACCCATTGAGGTGCAGTGGCTGATGGAATTCTGTCGCAAGAGACCACTTCCATTGGGCAGGGTGAGTGCCTTTTAGAATACATACATTATTAACAAAGACTTTTTATCCACCTCGTCCACTTTTTCTTTTTTCTCTAGCTCAAAGGTCCGTATTCTTTAGGTATGCCAAAGCTGATTCTCAGGGCCGGTTGTTCAATGTCTGATTATCACTACTTGCCGGTTAAATATCATTATCGACGTTTTCTACATCATGCACAGGGCTGCTAACTTGGCTCAAAACGTGCCATTTTTGGCCCTATTTTACTTGAAATGGCACTTAATTTTTCTATTTGGCACAAAGTGCCAAAATGGCACTTTTGAAAAATAGTAATATTTTAATACATTTTAGTGAAATCCTTTGCGTGTACTTCTTTTTCTCAACTAAAATTTTCTAATTTTAATGCTAAATGGGAAGAACTAAAAATAATGGCACCTTTTTGGCACTTTTATTTTTCTATTTGGAACATTTTGGCACTATTTTATCCTCAATATGGCACTTCCTAGCTAAGTATAGTTGACAGCCCTGATCATGCATATAATATGTGATCTATTTAAGCTGTCGTATTTAACCGGAGCTTCTACCTCCGATTGGTGCTAATCAGACATTGAACAAACGGACTTTTTGTAAAATGGGCGTGGCACATCCCACTTATGACTACATAAGCCGCTTTGTTGATTTCTACCAAACACGGTTCAATTAATGCATTAAGCATAACTGAGCATATTATCGAAAAAGTTTGAAAAAGGGGGTAAAACCATGAACCAAAAATACAAGATCACGCGCGCAGGGGAGTAGCCCGTTAGAATCGCATTTAGGAAAAAAGTTTAACGATTTTGACATTAGCCGTTTGTTTACATTTCTTCGTTGTTTACAATTTGGTGATGGCTTTTTACTGCAATTTTCTTCATTTTCGCCTGTGACAACGTGTGTACACATAAGATAAAGAATAATTTAACACAACGGCATGATTTATAGCAAAATTTACATAATAAAAATGATTATTCTGTTTACTTCTTACAACAAAGATGGCGTCGAGATTTAGGCAGCTAGAAAATAACCTTTTTCTTTCTTTCCTTCACGCGTGATCTTGTGTCTTTCGTTCATGGGGTAAAACCACCCCTGCTTACCATGTAGCGGTAGTTTTCAAAAAGGTGAAACAACTATGTATAATACGTGCGCCGGGTATTTAATGTCTCTTCTTCGCCCGAACTTAGACTTATTTACTTTTTCTGCTACAGGTGATGCTAATTTTCTTCCATATACATATGTAAATAAATTGTCAAACACACCTTGTATGGCTAAAATGCGTCCACAAAAAAATTACCCAAAATCAACGGTAGGAGGTCCTAGCTACTTCAAAGTGGCACTTTATTATATACAAATTGTATGGGCTATAAAGCTGTAAAACTGTTCTAAAGATTCAGCATAAAAAGTTTGGACATTTTATGAATATTTGTTGAATTATTTTAAATTTTGTACAAAATTTGCAACCTTGATGTATGTACATATGTATGACATACAATATATTTATAGACAATATTACATTTTGTAGATAACTTGAAAAACATGTTGAATATTAAAAAAATCAACAGGTCAATTCTAATTTGAGTCCTACTGAAACAGCGCGGCACGGTACAATCGCGTATATGTTTCGCTGTGCCGCACTGTGCTGTTATTCCAAAACTCGATTTGTTCTACCAACTGCAGTCATATGGGGCATTCCTACCTCCATGGTTATCTTACTCTTAACTCAGTTTACAAAAACAATATACACTAGAGAATAATAATTATTAACCAGCAGCCGGATTCAAACATTTGCTATCGCAAAATTTGATAGCCAAACATCTCCCAAAGAATAGCNTTATTCCAAAACTCGATTTGTTCTACCAACTGCAGTCATATGGGGCATTCCTACCTCCATGGTTATCTTANACGGTAGGAGGTCCTAGCTACTTCAAAGTGGCACTTTATTATATACAAATTGTATGGGCTATAAAGCTGTAAAACTGTTCTAAAGATTCAGCATAAAAAGTTTGGACATTTTATGAATATTTGTTGAATTATTTTAAATTTTGTACAAAATTTGCAACCTTGATGTATGTACATATGTATGACATACAATATATTTATAGACAATATTACATTTTGTAGATAACTTGAAAAACATGTTGAATATTAAAAAAATCAACAGGTCAATTCTAATTTGAGTCCTACTGAAACAGCGCGGCACGGTACAATCGCGTATATGTTTCGCTGTGCCGCACTGTGCTGTTATTCCAAAACTCGATTTGTTCTACCAACTGCAGTCATATGGGGCATTCTCTTAACTCAGTTTACAAAAACAATATACACTAGAGAATAATAATTATTAACCAGCAGCCGGATTCAAACATTTGCTATCGCAAAATTTGATAGCCAAACATCTCCCAAAGAATAGCAGGCACCCCTAACCACACGCGCAACGTCTAGTTTAATTCCCAAATTTGGCTGATTACACATTGTATGTGTTACTCCTCCATGTTGCATACTTTTAGGACCCACCGCTTTTAATTTAGAGAATTTAGCGTCAAAACTTAAGCGTAGCCTATGGTTAGAATTTTACTGCAGATTACTTGATAATCATGCAGGTGTGAATTCCCCAATTGTATGAAGCAACGTATATCGTACGGTATTTTGCCTTTTAAGCAGACGTTGTTGCCACATGCAGCACATGGTATCATTATAAAAACACATCCCTCAGGTATTTGCTTCATAGTATTGCCAAGCGTCGTTGCGAAAATCAGCCACTACTATCAGCACCGTGAACACTCCTTTATATACAAGTTATCTGCTTATTTTTACGCAGTTGTGGTTAGAGCAATAAACATAGGAATATACATAAATACGTAACTATCTAAGCTGTATGCAAGTATGAATGTATGTATAACGTTGTAGGTTATTCTTCAGTGTATTTGATTGTTGGAAACCAAACAAATAATCACATTGGTAGCTATACATGTATGCATGTAGATAGCGTGTTTTTACAACAACAATAACCAACCAAGTAACCCGATAACCACGAAAGCGTGAATAAGCAAACTGAGGAATAATAATCGACGCGTACCTACATACATACATACATATGCTTGTTTACCGGCTGTGTAGTTGTGTATCTGCTTATTTTTAGTGCTCAAAAGAATTAAAATGAGCGACGGTAAGTGGAATGTAGAATTTTATTTCGGACTCAAATTTATTTATGCATGCACTTTTCTTACATTTTAGCGCCTAATAAAATAATAAGAAAAAGAAAACGGGAGAACGAAACAAAGAAATGGACGAATCAAGAAACAAGGATGGTTTTAACATACATGCAGATGCACAGAAATATTGAGGTTCGATTTTTTATATTTTCTGAAAATACCTGCACTACCATACATGTGTATATGCACACTGCATATATAGGTGTACAAATGATGCATGCACGTACATATGTATGTACGTAGTACATTGTACCTATGCAAAATTTTTATGAAACTGCGCTTTTTTACATATCGCTCATTTACAAAAAGACTGCTACATTTAAAAAAAGGAATAAACTTTAGAGTAAATGAAGCAGAATTACTCTTGATATAGTGCTTCGTATTTTGTAAAAATTTCGTGCTGAAATCTTGTGTAATTTTCGCGGGAGCAGAGAATATGTTTCTTTATTTTATGCATTTTATGAGTAAATGGAAATCTCCCCTAAAAAAAAATTATTTTTTTTTTGAGCTGTGACAGTCTTTTAGTAAATGAGCGTTATTATGCTATTGTTTCTTTCAAATACAGCCAGCTCTTTCAAAGTTAACTTAGAAAGTTTTTTTTTGCCTCTATAAAAATTCAAAATGTCAAATAGGGTCTTTTGCATTGATGGTGACGTGACTATTTAGGGCTGTTTGCACCATGGCTAGTTAACGCTAATCTTTAATGTATGCTCATATTCATAGTATAGTTTAGCTAACTGGAGGTACATTCTTCAGCTAACTGAAGGTATATCCTTCATTTAAGGCTAGGTGTCAATATCGTCGATAGCGATGTTTAACTGGTAGTTAGAATTAACTGGACGTGGTGCAAACGGCTCTTATAATATTTTATTTTTATTTATCAATATTTATACACAGAAACCCACTGCCAGGATTTACTACGAAAAACTTATCGAACATACCAACATTGATGCCACCTGGAATACATTGAAGTGTAAAATTCGCCACCTTAGAGTCATACTTCAAAAAGCAAATGATTTGTTAATATCCGCAGCCACTGGAAGGGATGGTGATGACTCTGACACTATCAAAGGTACGTACATCTGAAATTAATATGAGATATACATACTATGTATAGTTGCGAGTAAAATAATAGCAGTAAAATTCAAAATGATGCTGCTGGTAACTTATGTTTATTTATTTATTTATTGTTAATAATTTTAATTTAAAATATGGGTCGATCTGTATCAGAGACCGCATAAATAAAGTTTTCAAAGCTTGCACCAAGTTCACAAAAATTAATTAAACTTAAAAAAATGTTCATCAAAACTTCGATTTTTTAAATTAGATTTCTTAGAAAGATTTTGAGTGTGCAGTTTTGTAGCCCATTGAATTTTTGTATAATAATGTTTCAAGTTAGATCGACTCAAATTTTAAATGAAAATTATTAATAATAAATAAATAAACATAAGTTACCAGCAGCATCATTTTGAATTTGCATTTTATTTTTTGTTGCTCGCAATTGTACATAGATTTTTATATTTGCGTTATTGACTGGTTTGTAAACTTACATTCATTTGTAGATAAGATGTTGCAAATATGCCCATATTACGATCAACTCTCCGATATTTTTCCGTTGGCCACGGCAAGCGAGTTTCCGCTTATGGACACACCAAAGTTAGAAGTTTTAAATTATAGTCCAGTGGATGGTAGTGACAGTAAAAATTTTAAGATGACCGCTTGTGAAGACAAGACTTTTTTGTTTTACGATGAACCGACAACTTCATCGGAAACGAACACTTTTGCTGGCAAAGTTAAATGCACGGCACACAATTGTTGTGTTAACAATCCGGCCGAAACGGAGGCTGAATGGATTAAGTTTCGAATAGAGAAGCTTCAATTTGAGAAGCAAAAATTCGAGTGGTCGAAGGAGTTTGAAGAAAAGAAACTCGAGTTGGAATATAAAAAACAAAGAGATGAATTTGAGCTACGGAAACTAGAACTGGAGCAAAATGAACGACTAAAGATGTTTGAAATAGAAATTAAATATAAACATGAAAATAAAAATGCAGTAATTTAAAATAACTAAAAAATGGGAATATGAGGTACGTAATATGTAAATCAAACTGAAAGAACAGATTGAAAAATAACATAACTATGTAAGAAATGCAAATATATGTAAAATTAATAAATTTATGATTTCAATCAATTTTCGTTCGTACGTTAAACTTAACAATTTTTACCTTAACTTGCCTTTTATAAATAAACACTTGTAAATAAAATGTAAACTCAAAAAATACAGTTTTCAGAATAGCTTCATTTGTTTTAAATACGCTAGCGGATTTTGCGAAATTAAATTATAGTTTAAAAAACTAAAAACTCTTTATTTTATAATGTGAACTAAAAAGTAAAAAATAGGTTATCGAAATATAGATTTGGTTTAAGAGGAATAGGAAGTTCTTTAATCTGATTTAATTAAACTTTTAAAGCCAACGGAAAACAAAACGTGGGGTTCTTGACTAAAAAAAATGATTAGGAATCATTAATCAAAAAAAAAAAGAATAAAGACTAATTTTTATTTAGTTTTAGTCAGGACTAACAAAAAATTATTGCAATCACTTTTACTGCATTCTTTAACACCTCTGGTCCAAAGTTATGCGGTAACATACATACATAAAAAATCCGACGAATAGATAACCTGCTCCTTTTTATGAAGTCGATTAAAAAACATAAAGTTCGTGCCACAGGTTTTGAACCCGTGACCAACAACACGGCAGTCGAACATGCATCCATTCGGCAACAGCAGCTGTTGAGATAACGGCACAAAGCCCGCTCGCTTACATTGCGATGCATCTTTTCGTTCAGCCGCACCTGTTAATCATTTCTGGATAGAAAAAGGTAATTCGTTCCCGTTTGCCCACTGGGTTGTCCAACTCTTTTTCGGTATTAAAATGGCTGAAATAGTTGTAATTTCAAGTCCATATTTTGATATATTTATATTAGGGGTCTGCCATAGTCACGGGTGATAAATTGAACGGTTTTCACATGGAGCGATTTTCCAGGCAATTTTAGAGGCTATTAGTTAATCAAAAGCTGGCTGCCCCCAACTTCATTGGAAGAGATAGTGGAAAAAGCGTTCACACCAGGCGATTGTTGCTTTCAACTCAAAGTTGCCTGTAAAATCGCCTCGTCTGACAATCGTATTGGGCACTGATGTTAATCCTTTTTGACAGTGGCGCCTTAATCAAAATGGCACATAATTGTTTCTTAATTTCGGTGAAAATAAATTGATTTAACTGACAATTTTTCTAAGGAGAAAAGAAATTGATTTCGATGTGAAATTAAGAATGGACCCGAAATCTATCAGTGTGTATACCATAACAAAATAAAAAAAAAAAACATTTATTGCCAAATTGTAACTTCTAAATTGCGTTATATTAAGGTGAAAACTAACCTTGTTTCAAAACGGAGGCATACAAATTCAAAACAATCTTGACTCAAATTTGTTTTCAAATCGTTTTTTTATTTCCCCAAATCGGTTAGAAAACACGTATAAACACGTAATTCATTTGACTCGCAGTGAAATAGGCTGTGTTTCTTTATACAGTCTGTTTTAAATTACAATTATTCTGTCCTATCTTGAGTTTCACCCGAAAAAAGTGAAAAGTGAATCGGTTCGCGGAAAATGAAACTCATGATAAGGCTGATTATTTAAATAAATTTCAATTATTGTTTCCTTCCATTTCGATGAACCGTGCAAATAAATTATTAAAGAAATATCGAATAAAAACAAAAAATTGTGTTTACTTTTAAATACGGTTTTGGCGAGTGCTCTATAAAGACACACGTATAAACTCTTTAAAGAAATATGTGTTGAGTCAAATCCATTTTTTGTTAATGCGGTTCTTGCGTAGGTATAAACAAGGTATATGTTTACTATTGTTCACTATTGTACTATGTTCACTTATTGTTAAAGTGTGTTTAGACGTGGCAACGTAAGGCTTTTGGAGATTTGCTGAAATCCATTTCGGTAATAATAAGAATTGCATGGTGTAACTGCAGCTCAAAGAGCGCGAATCGCTTTCGAGAAACAATTTAAAATTGCTCGTGCTGCACTAGTAATTTCCATTTTTGTGAAAGTGGGATAAGAATCACCATAGTCATTATACACAAACAAATACAGTTTCTGTTTGAAGTTTATCAGTCAAAATTATTTTCTTAACATACTTTGTCAGAAATTAGATTTCATTCGATTGTGGTCAATCAACTTTCGCGCGCGCGCTTCAAATAGAAACGTACATATGTACATACCAAAATACAATGCCCAATCCAGCACCGACTCCTTCGCGGGAAATACATGGTTTTGCTACATACTTGGTATTATTGCTACTATTTTCCTTGTATATACATATGTACTCTGGGAGCAGTTGAGACTGCATTTTTTTCCCATAAGTTCTTAGCGCTATCTCTACCTCAAGTTGGGACCACAATTTTTGTTATGATATAGTATGTTTTTTATCCGGCGATTAATTTGGCAATGACACTTGACGTTGATGATTTGGCAACAGTCTTGGACGTGAAGCTATTGCGGCGTGTTAATGAATCGAATGATATTACGAATCAGGTATCAATTAAACATTTGGAGGATATGCAGCGTAGCAGAAGTGAGAAAGCAGCAGAACAGCCAAAAAACGTGACGAAGTGTCTATAACTGTAACTAAAAGCGACAATATCTACTCTATATAGCTCTATATCATCTAGATCTGGTGGCAGTCGATCGTTTGCTCTATGATTAAATATTATAATAATTTTCTTACATACATACATATGTACATACATACATGTGTACATACATACATGTTTGTTTAAAGATCTTTAAATTCTTAATAAAAATGTGAGATAAAATAATTAAAACGGCATACATTTCTTTAAGATTCATAGTTCTAATTTGTTTACAATTTCATGTAGTTTTCGGATATCTTATTTAAAATATTTGGTTTCAGATGCTTGTCCCGAATATTCCGCTGATGCCCTGGAATTCATCTATAGTCAGCGTGGACATCCATTAATAGTGCTGCACAATTACCTGTATCGTAAGAATCGCGGTCGTTATTGGCGTTGTTTGCGCTGCACAAAATATCATTGCAGAGCGCGCCTAATTTTTTCACCAAAACATACTGTACGTGTTTTCGGTGTGCACACACATGGCAAAGAGACGGAAAAAATCGAGTGGGGACGACAAATTTGCAACGAACTGAAAAGTACCTGCCACAATGGACTCGATTTAAGTTCGAAAGTGAAGTTATCTATACGACAACCGCATTTCAAAACAGACGACGATTCGAATGCATCCAATGCGCCTAGCGAAGATTCGTTCCCGAATGAAGCCGATACAGTCACACATGATGATGCAAGAGTCGATGCAGGACTTTATATGAATATACAGACCCAATACGTTGATAATTGTTTACAGCTTCAACTTACGGATAAATAAAAAGAAGTTTTTTTTCTAAATAAATGTAACTGTTTTTCACTGCGTACAAAAATTTAATTCAATTGTTCTTGGACACACCTTTAACCTACTAAAATAATATATATTTTTATATTTATATTGCAGCACAACCAGAGGAGGTCAAAGATGATGTTGGTTCATTGCAGAAATATTCGGCGTCAAATGCCCCGTCTAGCTTGTTCACTAACGACAGCTATGCAATGCCCTTTCCATTAGGTGTGTGGCTGGAAAATCTGGAGATCTTTTATGTACGCAATCAAAAACAGGGCTATAATCTTATTTTCAATGGATATATGTACAAGAAAGAAGCCAGTTTTCGTGCGACGACAAATTGGATTTGTTCAAGCGGCAACGGGAAGCGTGTGTCGGACAACAAATGTACAGCACGTTGCATAACTAAGTGGGATGGTTCGGTAAAATTGGGCAAACACTCGCACAACCATCCGCCCAAATTTACGCCGGAAACGATGCCACCAAATGCGTTGACCAGAGCAGAGTTTTCCTTGACGTTGTAAAGCAAATGCGTTCGATCATCAGGCATTTACAGTTTAGTATATGCATACATACTTACGTACATAGATATATTAGATAGTATTATTAGACAAATGCTGAGAGCAGAATAAATAAATATAATGGAGGCATAAGTTTTGTAATCTTCAAAAAGGAGAACTAGTTTTACTCGATTTAAAACTGATGGCTAACTTATGGCGTTTTCTTTTCCACCGAAAAATGCTGCTTTCTCAGTGCCCTCTGTGCAGAGATACTAAGAAGAGATCAATGAGAAGGCAACATTTTTTGTAGAAAAGAAAACGCCATTAAATACTAAAATAGTATTTCTTAAACTTGTTAAAACGAGATTGTGTTTTGCATCATATATGAGATTATATATATATTTTGGAAAAAAGGCGCTAATGAAATTGAGGAAAATATAGACTTTCTAACTATACCATATTTATACTTTTATTCTTGATTATCTCAGCGTATTGTGTGCTCACAAATTTGCCATTCTTTACGGCTTGTAAAATAAATTCACGAAATTAAGAGGCTGTATATATAAAAACATTGCATATTATCTGTTAAAATTTCAATGTATATACCTTACACTTAGGTATGTATTTACCATTAAACTTTTCTTCTATCCTTTCAGTTACTTTTATCACGCAAAACAAATTTAGATATGTCATCCTGAATGGCGTAAAATACAAAATGTTGCGCTCACGAGCCTACAACAGCCAATGGTATTGCATCACACCTAATTGTCCAGCCAACATAACCATTGATGAGCTCAAGGGTGGTCTAATTTTGATTGGATCCAGGCACTCATTTGACTGTCGCGAACAATACTCAACCAAAACGTGTTGATATTACTGCATCATTCAAATATACGTATAAACACAAAACATAAATATACTTACTTGTACTATAAAAGCATAGTTGTAGTAGTAAGCGCAAAGTCATTTAATTAAAGGTGAAATTTATCTAAACTCAAATTGCCGTTTAATTTATATACATATCTATAATTTTCTTATGTCGATACACTTTCGACGCACAGTTCAGTGTTTTATCTGTACCTACATTGCTTTTTACTAAATATATTTGCCATCACTCTAACCAANTTGGAAAAAAGGCGCTAATGAAATTGAGGAAAATATAGACTTTCTAACTATACCATATTTATACTTTTATTCTTGATTATCTCAGCGTATTGTGTGCTCACAAATTTGCCATTCTTTACGGCTTGTAAAATAAATTCACGAAATTAAGAGGCTGTATATATAAAAACATTGCATATTATCTGTTAAAATTTCAATGTATATACCTTACACTTAGGTATGTATTTACCATTAAACTTTTCTTCTATCCTTTCAGTTACTTTTATCACGCAAAACAAATTTAGATATGTCATCCTGAATGGCGTAAAATACAAAATGTTGCGCTCACGAGCCTACAACAGCCAATGGTATTGCATCACACCTAATTGTCCAGCCAACATAACCATTGATGAGCTCAAGGGTGGTCTAATTTTGATTGGATCCAGGCACTCATTTGACTGTCGCGAACAATACTCAACCAAAACGTGTTGATATTACTGCATCATTCAAATATACGTATAAACACAAAACATAAATATACTTACTTGTACTATAAAAGCATAGTTGTAGTAGTAAGCGCAAAGTCATTTAATTAAAGGTGAAATTTATCTAAACTCAAATTGCCGTTTAATTTATATACATATCTATAATTTTCTTATGTCGATACAATTCGACGCACAGTTCAGTGTTTTATCTGTACCTACATTGCTTTTTACTAAATATATTTGCCATCACTCTAACCATCTGTAACTATGCATTTCACTTGCAGATAAAGAATTGTACGGAGAGGAAGTCTTTTTACAATCCAGCATCTTGCATGAATCCGAGGCACATGCACCGGTACAGCCACTGCAAACAAATCATGCCTTGGATGTACAGGGTCCCATATTTGTCGTAAGCAAATATGGCACAAAGCAATTGGTACTGAAGCAGCACACCTTCAATCGGCATGTCAGCCGCGAAGAAGTCACCTATTGGCGTTGTAGTCAATTTGCCGTTTTACGCTGCCGTGCACGTATCAAGACAAAAGGAAATACACTGACTGTGCTGAATAGTGAGCATAATCATGAAGTCATTACAAAGGCACGAAAATATGGTTCGCTTAAGGCTGCTGCGGCTGCAGCAGCTGCCGTCTCGACAAATAATACTGGTGTTGCTGTCAAGGTAGACACTACCAGCACTGGTGACGATACGCTTACATATAGCAAAGGCGCCTACACCATTACTGAAGTTAGAGCTGGCACCAACATTTCACAGTAAAGAGAAGTGTATGAATCAATGGGAATCGTTGGTAGATTCCATGCAGATCTGTTATCTCTCACTTTCTTTCCACTTGTGTTAATAAATAGAAATTCGTATTAATTTATGATAATATAATAATAATAACAAAGACAATGATAGAAACTATGTCGAGCAATAAAATTATTTTCAAGAAAAAAGAAGACATGTAATTGTAAGAGCTTTAGCAGTTATTTATTTCTTTTCAGCGCAAGTGTAACAAGACAACGTGTGAGTGGGCTTTAAGTGCTTAAGTTTAAGGAAAAAAAAAAATTTATTAGAAATGTGTATATTTTATTAAAATTTTGTATGCACACTGATGTACTTCATTACTAATTGTTTACAATTTTTTTTTCTTCCATTTGCTTCATCTCGTTGCAGCCCGCACAGATAATTACTTCTCCTACATAACGGGATTTCGCGGTAGCCGTAAGCTGAAAGTGGGCGACTACAGCTTTACACGTAATAAATCCTCTGGTGCGAAAACCTATTGGTCATGCGCACGCGCCGGCATACACAAGTGCAAAGCGCGAGTTGTGACAATAGACGAGGACTGCCGGCACGATGTCATTGTCAAATGCGAGCATCATAATCATCCGCCGTTTTAGGAAGTTTGCTGCTATAGAAAATCCAATTGTATATAAATGAATATAAAAAAATCGCGTATATAACTACAACATATGTATGTATGTATGTACATATAAGAGTTAGAGAAACATTACTAATTTATTTTAAATTAATTTTAATAGTGAAAAACAAAAATAAACTACAAAATTTCTAGAGTGTTAGAATAAAAAAATGCAATATTTTGCCGCAAAAAAAAAAACACAGGCGAACTTTGTACTGCCTAAAATTTAGTACTTACTGGAGGAAGCAAAGACAACAATAACATTACTGACGATTTGTATTCGAAAAGCAGTCTTTCAGAGTTCCACCCAAACTTAGCTTTTTGGCCTTATTCATAAAAAATAAAGTAGATTTAAAAAGCTTTTTAAAGCGACTTATTCATAGAAATTTTCGATTTATAAAGCATTTAGAGAGTTGGGCATGGATATGGATAAAATTCGGAAGCGTTTAGATTCAAACAGCAAAATATTTGATACTACTAGAGAATGGTACCTTCGATTGGTCAGCAGCTTCTCCGCACATATTCTGGTTCTATTTCAAAGTCGTGGTTCCTTGATGTTGCGCACGATAATCACCAAGCCGATCTTTAACAGCACACTGATGATGAATGACTGTGTCCACCTAAAATATGTACATTCTTTAGGTACCCGTACTATAATATAACTCAATTAATTTATTTAAACAAATTAAATTTTTTTCTACATATGTACTATACTTCTCAAAAATATATTAACACTTAAACTTTCGTGCGTGAACGGACATATCAATTTTATATACATTTAAGATTTCTATTTATTTATGCAACAGTTAGTGTCGCGAAAGTTAAATTCTTAGAACAGGCTCCTTTTAAAACAAAACAATTTAATTTTTTAATATTTTCCAGAGCAACTAGAGGACATGGATGTGCGTGAAAATTTGCTCTCGTTTACAATGGGACAACGCGGCTGTACATTGCTGGTATTTAAGGGATATAATTACGTACGAAATCGACGTAGCGGCTTGAAGACTTATTGGATATGCGCCAAAAAGGTGAGCCGATACTCTGAATAATTCAAGTAACGCTTTATTCTCATAAGCTTTAAACTCATGTTTTTTCTCTTTTATAATCCTCATAGGGCAGCACAAAGTGTAATGCGCGTGTAGTCACCAATGTTATCGATGGTGTGCAAAAAATTGTCTTAGAATCGTGCCGACATAACCATGCGCAAAAAGTTGCGCGCAAGAAGCGCAAAAAATCCTTAGAGCAAGCAGTGCAAGCAATTTTAAACTTTGAAGATCCAATCAAATATGAGCAATTACAATTAAAAAGCGGCGAAGAGCGCAGAATTTGGCGAGCTACAACTCCTACCTGATGAATTTTAAAATAATCGATTATAAAGTTTTAGGCGATAGTAAAAAAAATATATACTAGACTAGTGTAAAAAAAGTTTATATATTTGTTTAAAGTTTTTTTTTTTTTTTAATTTGCCGCAGGGTGTGTGATTTACATTGAGCACCTCATTTGCATTTGTTCATTTGGCGGCGACAAGCGTTTACTGATCACATTTTATCATTACTAAATTTTTTGCAGAAATCGCTACTTTCACCACTGGCCAGCGCGGTTGCACTGTGCTCATGTGTGGCAATCAGAAATTTGTGAAGAATCGCAAATCGAGCACGCGCACCTATTGGATTTGTTCGAAAAAGGCAATTACTTATCAAATTTTCTTCTAGTTAATGCTTCTTTGATAGTTTGCGTTTCTTGCTTGCTTGCAGGATGTGACCTGGTGTCGGGCGAGAGTTGTCACAGCGCGTGACAAGCATGGCACGGAGCGTATACTTCACCGTTCCTTCGAGCACAATCACACCCGCAAATATCCACGTTACGAGACTGGAGTTCGGCGTACCGAACACTTGATAAAAAAACTGATGTCTCAGTGAAGTTAGGAGTGGTTCATACCATTCGAATTTTTATGAGCACCTACACATCTGCATGAGAGTGAACGAAGAACATGTACATATACAATTATTTCAATAAAATAATACACTTAATATGCTTTTTAAATGTTACACATCCTTGTGTAATTGGTATAGTCAATCCAAACGTATTTGCCATTAAATGTTTTTTAATGTTTTTTTGTTTTGCCTGCTCTGTAACAGCCATTGTCTCTTTCTTTTTTCACTATTTTCATTTCAGGCTCGATGCGAAGTTTCCAATATACTATAACGAATACTAAATTTGATATGCCCTGCAGCGATGAGAGTTTTCTGCCAATGTTAAATCCTTTGCACGATTCAAAATGTGTGGGCACTGATGAAAAGCTTGTTAAAGTTAAGTCCGGCTTGTCAAAGCGTAAACCCCCTTTTCTGGAAAATCGCACCATGGACGATTGGGGCGCCATCAAGTATAGCACAACTTCAAGAGGAAATAAGTTGTTATCCTATGGCGGTCATCGTTTCATCAAAAACAACATTTATGGCATGAGGGTGTACTGGAAGTGCACAAAGTGGCATAGTCATTGCAAGGCGCGTGCAATTACCAGTTTTGCTGCGCCCACGTGTTGCGTCATAAAGGGCGTACACAACCATTCGATCGTGAAGGAGGAATAAATATAGAGAAAAGAAGGAAACATGTCGCACGCGTAATGTGGAATATTCAGTGCAAATGAAGTCAACTTTTTAGATTCTAAGCTTAGATATATTTAATAGTAGTTGCTGGGTTACAAATCCTTGCCAATTAATGCAATAATATTTTTTTTTTTTTAAGATATTACAATTTGAAAGACCCTGGCAAATAAGCCTTCATNAGTTGCTGGGTTACAAATCCTTGCCAATTAATGCAATAATATTTTTTTTTAAGATATTACAATTTAAAAGACCCTGGCAAATAAGCCTTCAGACACTATAATAAAAACTGTGCACTTAACAGACGTTTTTGATTTATAAATATGCTAGTGCGAAAGCGAAAAAAAACGAATTTCAGTGAATGTGTACCGTTGTGTTAATTAAAATAGTCCTTACACCTTTTCCATGTAGCATTTGTAAATAGTAACAGTTTTTTTTTGTAATTTCAGTACCTGGCGGAGATTTATTAATTTTCACTTTATTTTTATTTATTGCTTTCGTAACAGTTTGAAGAGATTCCATTTGCATTAACTTCATACTGCCGATATCTATCTACCTGCATTTTACGTATTTANAATAGTCCTTACACCTTTTCCATGTAGCATTTGTAAATAGTAACAGTTTTAATTTGCAATTTCAGTGCCTGGCGGAGATTTATTAATTTTCACTTTATTTTTATTTATTGCTTTCGTAACAGTTTGAAGGGATTCCATTTGCATTAACTTCATACTGCCGATATCTATCTACCTGCATTTTATATATTTTTACGTATTTCTGAATTTTCTCTAACTCTTTCCAATTTCTACTTTCAGGTTTTCAAATCGATTTCATTGATTCGAAAAAGAATGGTGGCAAATTGTTGGTCATCAATGGCTTTCGATTCTTTCGCAACAAAAAGCGTGGATCTCGTCAGTATTGGAAATGCAGCAACTATTATAAAGAGAAATGCCCTGCCATTGCAATTTACGATGAGACGACGCTGAATCTGCGTTTGTGCCACCAGCATAAGCATGTGACAAGCAATGATATCGAAATCAAACCTTTTCTCTCTAAAGACTGCGCATTACTGGACGATAGTCCTATAGAATCGTTGCACGAAGACCTTGTTGATATTAAGGTTTAGAAGTATATCTCTACAAAATACCGAAACGTGGGCAACATTACAAAAAAGACATTTTTAATGTGAACTGAGGATTGGAAATACCGCCATACCAAAATATTAACACCTTATAAAATTTATATTTAAATATGGAACTGTTAAATTAGTAATATTTAATACATATGTTTATACATATAAGAAGAGTATTACCTGCAGAAAATTGAATTTTGACAAAAAAAAAAAACGAGGCAAAGAAAAAATAATTCGTAAATCATTCTAATAAGTGTGTTTAATAGTGGCGTTGTTGTTGTAACAGTGATCGAATATGTATGGTAGTTAATGTAGTGGCTGTATAATTTTGTTTACGAAAGTTCCAAATTAGTTATATATTTCAGGTTTATAGAAAATTATTTTTACTACCAAGAATTATCCAAGGAAAAAATGTTGCGTGAAGGCGTAATGCTGAATTTCAAGGAAAAAATGCTTGCGTCATTCAAAAATTCCATGTGGCTACGAAATCAATGTTTATTTTTACTAGCCAATTGGCACAAGCATTTAAAAAAAGGAAGAAAAAAATGAAAAAGGTTCACCTTGGAAAATCGGCCATCAAACCACATACATATGTCTCAGCAAGTTTTAAAACGATATGTTACAACATAAAGATATATAACAAACATAAACGGCAGAGAGAATCGCCATGGTTCGTATTGGGCTCCCATAAGAGGCGGATGGATTCGCAGAATGCATGGCTATATTTGACAGACTGATTCGGGTGGAATCCCTCTCCAACTTGACACCGCGAAAATACTACTTAGCACTCACCTTTGGCAACACGTCGTCGTCGGTCCCAAAATCCCGACGGTAAACTACCCTGTAGGTAATGATCGATCTTCACTTGAAGTAAGCACCAAGCTAGAAAAAAAATACCAAGTCAAAAAGAACTTGGGGTGCGGATAAAAGGGCTACCTTAATCGTAATTTACAGGCCGATTGGCCGTAACACAGTTTATACATCCAGAAATTTGTATCGACGGAGCACCGTTCTTAGGAATCAGACTTTCCAAGTCGGATGATGAAGATGGCATCTGGCCCTTGAGAATCCTTCCATTGCTAATACAACTACAAACTGTACTCATTTTCGGCACACGGTGCAACACAAGTACCCAGATTTAAATGAGGCCAAGACCTTGCTGTTGCAACATTCTGTAGACNGAAATCAATGTTTATTTTTACTAGCCAATTGGCACAAGCATTTAAAAAAACGAAGAAAAAAATGAAAAACGTTCACCTTGGAAAATCGGCCATCAAACCACATACATATGTCTCAGCAAGTTTTATAACGATGTGTTACAACATAAAGATATATAACAAACATACCCGCAGAGAGAATCGCCATGGTTCGTATTGGGCTCCCATAAGAGGCGGATGGATTCGCAGAATGCATGGCTATATTTGACATACTAATCCGGGTGGAATCCCTCCAACTTGACACCGCGAAAATACTACTTAGCACTCACCTTTGGCAACACGTCGTTGTCGGTCCCAAAATCCCGACGGTAAACTACCCTGTAGGTAATGATCGATCTTCACTTGAAATAAGCACCAAGCTAGAAAAAAAATTACCAAGTCAAAAAGAACTTGCGGATAAAAGGGCTACCTTAATCGTATTTTACAGGCCGAAATTTGTATCGACGGAGCACTGCTTCAAACTTTCCAAGTCGGATGATGAAGATGGCATCTGGCCCTTAAGAAACCTTCCGCTGCTAATACAACTACAAACTGTACTCATTTTCGGCACACGGTGCAACACAAGTACCCGAATTTATATGAGGCCAAGACCTTGCTGTTGCAACATTCTGTAGATACCGGAATCGAATTGTTTAATTTCAGTGTGCTTTAGTGTTACTTCTGATAATATATATGTATATATGTATATAAGATCACGCGTATATATTTAGGTTTTAAACGAAAAAAAAAATTGTACCTGTTCTATCTTGAAAAGTAAAACATTATTACAATATTAATTACCCNATGTATATAAGATCACGCGTATATATTTAGGTTTTAAACGAAAAAAAAAAATTGTACCTGTTCTAAATTGAAAAGTAAAACATTATTACAATATTAATTACCTAGAAGAAAATGAGTTACCAATAAATTTTGTTGACCTACAGGTTTACCTTTATAATGTACTTATAAGTTAAATACAAATAGAAAAATTTCTACTCATACCATTCTACGAAATTTTCTTTATTTTGCTCTCCATAAAACCCAAGGCTGCCAAATAACGCAGGCACAACCAAAGATTCAGTTTTCCATTTCGAAACGGGGCGGCCAACTGCTCTGGCTGGACGGACTCAAGTACTTTCGCAACAACGAGAACCGTACGAATCTATTTTGGCGTTGCCACTGGTACTACAGGTGAGTCGTGATGAAGGCTATATTATCATTATAGATTTTCAACTATTTAATACTATTTTACTTCATTTTCAGGCGCATCCGTTGTCCAGTTTTGATTTGTATGAACAAATATGATACCAGTGATTTTCGACAAATACATAAGCACTGTCATGTAAAAAGCAGTAAGAAGCAGCAAAATATGCTACCACCAACATCAACACATTCAGCCGCAATGGCGACAATGAGTTCTAAAACAAATATAACATTGGAGATCGACAATGATCAGGATATGTTTACTATATAAATACAAAAANTCGACAAATACATAAGCACTGTCATGTAAAAAGCAGTAAGAAGCAGCAAAGTATGCTACCACCAACATCAACGCATTCAGCCGCAATGGCGACAATGAGTTCTAAAA